CAAAGCTGCATGTACGAAGTTGTAACGTAAAGCACAATTCTGAAAGCGTCTTTCGCTATTTTGCAAGTGCAGTAAACAGTAACTAGAGTACAAAATGTAATAGAAAAGATCTTTATGCTATCTGTGGTTATTGAAGCCTTCAAAAAGTCGGTTATGCTCCTCTGTACACCTTTCGCAAATCGTTGTTTCACAGCGACTGGGCTTTATATGACCTTGCATAGCTCATCAGACTAGTCAGGATTTTCCCTGTGCAGATTCACCTGATCGGCATTCGGGATTCTCTTGATTACCGCAGTGTCCGTAATAAGGAGGTTAAGTTTATATGAATTTACTCTCTGGGGCCGAGATTTAGTGTCCGTTCAGTCCGTATTAGAGAGAGTCCGTATTATAGAGGTTTTTTTAATGAAAATATATAGGAATTTTGTCGGGACGTTGGAAACTGTCCGTAATAGAGGTGTCCGTATTGGAGAGGTTCGACTCTTCTGCAATTCAGTTCTTGTTGATTTTTTTTTAGTTTTATTTTCCTTTAATTATTTTTAGGTATAGGCCAAACACAATCCATTGATAACATTTTCAAAGAAGTTTTTCCATTTTTCTCGAGCCATGGTAACCTTTGTACGACCATGTCCGAATCCTCGCTAGTGGAATTAATGCAATCAGTGGGAAATTGGTACACGAATGCCTTAATGCCTTTTTTTTATATATCCAGTGGATTGAACGAGGCACAGGAGGGTCGAACAAAGTACAGCATTTTGTTGGAGAGTGGCTTAGCAAGGTCGATTGTATCTCCAGTCATAAGAACGTTGCATTTTGCTAGCTGTATTGTGGCCGGAAAGAAACAATGCGTTAACATAATTAAGACAAAAATTACCTGATCAATATTTGAGACTGTGACTATTCTCCTCGCTTGTGTATCAGTCACCATACTACGCTTGATTAAGCGTGTTTTCTCAACTCCTGCAGCTCGATCCGAATTTGATCGGCGAATTTGTTTGACTCGCGACGACAGACCAATGCAGGACACAGAAGTATGGCTCAGTCAATTCCAAGCGTGCACATCCCCCTTCGGGTATTTGTCATTTTGTTTTGGAAAAGCTACAAATGCCCCACGGTGGGGCCGGGCGTTCATACCAAAACTCCACGGTGGGGATTATAAATAGGGTGAAAATGGCCCACCCGGACAACACCAAAGTTGCAGTTTGCAATAAATAAACTGCAAATACCATATTCATAGGAAATCTGTAATAATCTGATCAAACTAGCGCATGAGGCACCCTACGCAAATCGCTCTTAGCCGCTAGTTCAGTAATTATTGCAAAAAACATTCAATTGATCCGATTAATCTCAATGATAGAACTATAATTAAAGTCTGAATAATACCTTTCTTATTTTCGAAGACGTTTAGTATAGTATATTAACAAACAACCGACGCGCTTTACATGATTATTTTTTGATCACGATGGAACCGTTGCATGAATTGTCGCATTGATCAGATTGTCAGATTGTCGTATTGATCGTACAATACGCGAAGTTTATATTAGCTTTCAAATTTCTCGCCGAGTTTTTCTAGGCCTTTCTGCCTTGACAATTCACGCGCAAAGAAAGTGTCTTTTCCTTTCAACTCTTCAAACGATACATTGATTGTTCTTCCTCCATGAGCAAGCTGATCACGACGGCAGGAAGCAATTTCTTAGACGGATGCAAAAAGTACTGTGGGGTAGGGAGGTGATGGAGCGATAACCACCCATATCTTTTTATTAAAAATATTCTTTATAAAGCTATTTAGATAGGCATATTTTTTTAGTGAAATATTGAAAAAGGAATGACCCAGAGATAGGGGCCATCTCTATTGTTTTCATGTGTTTGTCTGTGACCGATTCATCACTGCCAGTTTGACGTCACTAGCCTTCGTAGCAGGCGCTTGAAAGTAGTGGGTGAAAGAGAGAACTAGCGCGCGCGAGGGAGACACGCGAGACATACTAACGGGCGAGTGCCAGTCAGGTTGCTTTCGCAAATTTGGAAGGGACACCATGGTCATTCGAACCAGAAAGGTTGGGGAAAAGATTAAAAGCTAGGCAAATAGATCATAAGTGCGTGAACTTTGTTGTATCTGCTTGCGCAAACCGTCTTGGTATTTTGCGTCCGCGATTGTGTAATTTTGTTTTTAAAATTTGTGTCGCGGGCTGTGTTTACGGGACCAGCAAGAGCATGAAATCGGCAACGTCTAGTCTCCAGAGTAGGAGGTTCGATTCAGAAGTCACAGACGTTTATATTCTACATCTTCTTTGCTAATGAAATCGACCGTACTTCTCATCAATCCCTTCGAGTGTGGGGTTCTGTTTATTTCTCAATTCTCCACTAAATTCAGTACAGCTTGTTTGATTGATTTTCTACAACGATCGGTCCTTTGAACCCAAAACATTTGATGGGCTCCGGTCCAAAATAATAATGCGAAATAGCTTTGCTATACGCGCTTAAGCTATTGTTTTTTTCAAACAGCGTCTATGGCAGAGAAAAATGGTTTTAAAAAAACAAACTCACTTCACCAAAAACTGAGAGGCACAATAGTGCAGTGGTCAATGAGTTGGTTGCTCGTGCAGATGAACGAGGTTCGACTCCCGGCGAAGCTGTTTTCTGTTTCTTTGTTGTACAATTTTTTTATTCTGTGAGGGAATTTTTAAGTAGTTTGTCGAGCCAGATGTAGGAACGATATTTACCCAAAATATGCACGTATTCGACATGATAGGCAAACAATGAAATCTAAGGCCATGACTAGAACAAATAGCTATATGCCTTTGCCAAATTATCAGGACTAACATACCAGATTGAAATTTACCAAAATTACGCATTAAAATTATCAACTGAACATAAGATCCTGCCATGGTCCTGACTGCGATTACGGTAAACAAAGTTTAACCCTTGCAATACAAAATCTTATTAGTTGGACTGGTTTTCCACAAATTAGCATAGAATCGAAATGAGATGGGAAATGGGAAATATTTTTGAGATGTAAACGAGTCAATCTCGTTTTTGTTTTTTAGTACCTGTTGTGCGCTTGAGCCAAAACTTCGACCTTTTTCGGCAAATCTATTTCGATCCTTCTTTCTTGTTCTCTTTCTTAGTTTTGTTGCCCACTTTATCGTCATTCTTTCCTACGGAATTTCGGCTGGCTAACTTCCCAGGAGGAGGAAAGTTTTATCTGGAAAGACTATTGTATACTGAAATTGGCAGTGGATTTTCAGTTCCCCAAAATGTTAGTCTGCCGGGATTGGGGAGAATCTGTCCTTCCTGAACCCGTAATTTGCCAACTTAATCACATAAATTAAACTGAAAAACAAACTCGGATCAGTTCTGTGAAATATTGTTTGCCGAAGCCAAGAAAGTGTTACTTAACATTGTTTCAGTAAACAAAAAGAAAAAAAACTAATTTGTTTCCACTTTCAACACACTATTAAATTTATATAGCGATTCACAAAACTAGTCTCGTCAAACGACCTCTTCAATTGATCGCCACAGTATTCAAAGTAACAGACACTCTAGGTAGTAATGCATGAAAAATGACCCCTAGTAGTAGTGAGGCTATTGGGCTACAACAGTCCTTGGGGTGCGGACGTAGTTCCATTCACTTTTTTTTCACCCTAAATGACCCGATCCTTTGCCAAGGGATTAGTAAAACCACGGCTTTCTTTATGGGGAGAAATGCCTTTTACAAAAGTGTGTGTAACCGCACCTTATGAGCTGTTTATTGATTTTTGTTTATTATCATTTATCCCACACAAACAACGTAGAAAGTTTAAAAGAAGATGAGGCAAGGGAGCCCAAGAAAGCCAAGAGAGCCAAGAATAAGCCTTGTGAACAGGACTCCTTAAGTCGAACTTAATGTCCACCCAAATCGTAATTTAGGTCGTCTCATGATGAATTCGACGTCTTGCCCCCTCCTTAAGAGAACGATTATACTACCTGATTGGTACTTAATTTCGCGTTTTTGGCGATTGTAAAAAATCGCGAAAATAAAGGCCCGCGAACATAAAGGCTACGCGAAATGTTAAAACCCATGTAGAAAATTCAAAACACGCAAAAAAAGATATTAACAATTTAGCAACAACATATACATTATGTTCAACAAACACACAAATTGTTGATTGGTTTTACTGGTAATTAAAAGTTCCATTTTGTATCTTCTGTTGTGAAATAGCGTTAATTGCAAAGATTTCACACATTGCTTGTTCCAGTTTATCTAGAAATTTTATGAAGTTCAGACTTTTTGAAAACTAAAATCAGTTTGAGAATGCTTTTAAAAATGGCCTTTTAATGGCCATTTTTTCATATTTGCCAGTTGATATCGCGAAAATAAAACCCCGCGAAAAACTATCTTGCCAAATTCGTGGAATTAAGTATGCTTTTTCTTTTTTTTTCTGCCTCCTTTCTTCATTAATTTTTGCGGCGCAGGTATTTCGAGTACTCGTGAATTTTATGTTTTCGTTTTTCTATCCAGGTTGTTCCGGTTATTACTTTGAAAAATACCAAGATTTACCAACCAGAGGAGCTCACGCCGTGGAACATCTCACGATCAATGGAAATCTATTTCTCGCCTTTGCAAACTACCAAAGCGACACCTCCGAAAAATACAACACAGACTCATTCATCTACAAGTTCAACGACTCAACTGGAAAGTTCTTCCTTTACCAGACGATAGGTACAAGTGGAGTGCTTGACGTAGAATATTTTACAATTTCTGATGAACATTATCTTGCTGTTGCTAATAGTTATAATGGAATTACGCAAAGCCTGAACTCAGTTATTTATCGTTGGAATGGAACATTGTTTGTTTTCTTTCAAAACGTTGCAACCCTAGGAGGAGACGGCTTTAATTTATTTACGATAGACAAAGAACACTTTCTTACCGCATCCAATCTTTGGAACGGTGTTACAAATAGTATAAACTCAGTCATCTACAAATGGAAAAACCGAAGGTTTGAAAAGTTTCAGGAGATAGCAACAAACGGATGTCGTAAAAGTGTTGCGTTTGAAATTAATAATGAAAGCTACGTTGCTTTTGCTAACTCTGTCGGAAATTCAGTTGTTTATAAGTGGTCAGGGAAAGGCTTCCTCAAACTGCAGACTCTCCAAAAAGCAATGGATGCAAATTTCTTTTATATCAATGATCACGCTTTCCTGGCCATTGTCTCTCCACCAACAATTGGTCAATGGTTTATTTACGAGTGGAATGGAAGTAAGTTTGTGTTATTTCAGTCTATTACTACGCCTGGAACCTGGGGTTCGCATTCATTTGTCCGATGTGGTCAAACGTTTCTGGGGGTAACTGATCGGTCCAGCACAAATTCTCCACTGTATCGATTCTCGTATGGCCAGTTCATTAAATATCAAGAGATTTCAAGCTCTGGCGCCATTGATATGACGACATTTGAATACAAGGGTCATGCTTACCTGGCTGTTGCTAATTCAGGAAATAATAACAAAAATAACATTAACAGCACTCTGTACAGGTGGACCTAAAAAGAATGCTTATGTATGCGCGTTAAATTGTTAATTCTAAGTTCCCGATACAGTTACACCCACAGGATGAAATAAGGCGTTTCCGTTTCCGTTTTTATAGCGATTACTTAACGGAAAAGTGAATTTCCGCAAACGGAAATTCAACTTTCCATTGCGGGAAATACGGGTATACGTTACGTTTCCGTTACTGCGGTTGCGCGGAAACGCATCTTTTAAACTCGCGTATCCGCAAGGTTTACTTTTCTGCGTAATCTCAAAAGGCCGTTATGTTTCCGCAGCTCGTGAATTTGGCGGACACACGATTATCTATATGGTTTCCTAAATTTGGAAGTGCGGAAATGTATAGATAACGCTCGATTGGATATAGGTTGAGGTTTCCACAATCAGGCAGTGTTAGCACACGATCCATAACGTTATTTCCTGAATGAATATGGAAGTTAGAAAACTTTGGGAGGTTTGTGATGGGATACATTCATTTTTCCCTACAACACAATCTGCCCTTGCAGTATTGTTAGAAAACTAGTGTGTCTAGTGTAAGTACTACAGAGAATTTAGATTACTTACTGTAATGGAAATTATATGCCGATAATTGACATTGTATTGTAAACCTAGTAGTGTATTATTTTGTACTCTTGGATTTCTTCTGTTGTTTTTTTCAGTGATTGTAACAAAATATTCTCTTATGCAGTAAATAAAGCATTGTCATTGTTCCCCCGTCTCACAAGAAGCTATGTATTTTCACAATTAATTAAAGAGTAATTTAGTAACTAGGAATTTTATAAGTCATATTATATATACCGTATGTCACATCTGATTGTAAATGTGTGTACATATGTAGTGAGAGTAACATTTTAAAGCAAAAACTGCTGCTCTCAGTACGCGCACTTTCATTGGTCAGTTTAGCGGACCATATTTCATTGCTTCAAAAGTTTGTTTTGGTCGCAATTGTCGGAACGGAAATACAATGTAAAACTGAGTTTCGTGTAGTTAATTGTCAAAGAAATGTTTTTTTTGGAAGCCAATAAAATTCATGTTTAGTATTTGACGCACGTCGATCGACAGCGGGCAATCTGCTCAAACTGAAATCTTTGATCCTGTGTTTGACATTTTACCTAGGTCTATGAATTACCGTTTCTGCCCAATGTTGAGCTGCAAGGAACAAAGGTCAAAAGACAATTTTAACCTCTTTTTGACTTACTGTAACTAGTGATGATGTTAGGTCCTTGTAGCATTAAAAAATAATCATCAACTCACAGCTGTAACAAAATTATCAAAACGAGATCCATAAGCAGTAACAGGATATTCTAGGTAATATGTCAAAGACAGAGTGATAAAAAAATATTTAAGATGGCTCCCAAGTGTATAAACAAAGCCTTCCTCGACTTATAAGCAAAGGTTTAGATATAGAGAAACAAGTAAAAAATAACGCGAATAAAATCAACGTTTTCTTGTCATCTTGACGCCATTTATGAAGTATGCAAAGTCACACGAAAAGTTTTGCTCGAATTGAGTCCGATTGGGCATTAAGACTTGTCTTGCAATTTTGGTTCATGAGATTCACCGCCATAAGGAGCCACCTTAATTTCTATGCAAAATCAAATTATGCCATTGGCCACGCGCCCTGCCCAAGAAGGACAGTTTTTTGGGAGTGGCCTATCTGACATGTTTTGGTCAGCTATTCTAGAAAGTTTAGCTGCTGTCCTTTTTTCCCTTTTTCTCATGCGAGCCTGATAGGTGGCATCCAGGACAACCTTAATGTTCCTTAACCCAGTTCTCTCCCACAGAAGTGGTTTGATGTGCCTTCCTGGTGGGCCACTCAATGTTTCTTCTGCTTCTCTTTCCTCGCTTTCCTCTGAGGACATAAACTCCACGGCATTTTGACAACCGTTAGAGTGCACTTATTTTTTACTTTGTCCTGTGGGGAGAGAGTGGATTTTTCCACCATTTCTTGACGATATGCCAATGTCTGAAGACCAAGAACAAAGGAATATCATGCATTGTTACTGGTTTAATTAGTTATTCCACTTTTACTTGCAACTTCGACAATATAATGCAGTTTTTTGCTAGATCGTAAGCAGAGTTTGTAACGGACTAGATGAACGTTCGGCCTTTGTACCACCACGACTCCGACGCTTGTGAAAACTGGCGTTGAAAGTGGTAGATATATGTCATGATTCGAATCATCCCTTTGGAAAGCCAAATCACATATTGCAATTGGTGTGGAGGGAAAACTAAATATAATGGCCCGTTTTTGTTAACAATTGTCGTCTTTAATAGTAAGCTAAAACTGTTAACGACTGTCTTGTTCAGGATGGCCACAATGGAAATGAATTGCAATTTTAAACATTTGGCTCATTTTTTTTCAAGCTCTCTCCGCGTGTCTTGGAAAATAGATATTTCTTGGCAATAGTTTGTTTCTCCTTAAGAAAGGATTTTAAATTTTTCTTTGGACCAGTGATTTTAACATAATTTTGACCAATAACCCACGAAATCCTGTTGTCGTAGTCCCTTAAATATAAGAATACAGTGTACGTCAATTTTTAGTTTTCTAGTTACTGTAATTAAACTATGATTTTTATTGTGAAAGTAGCCCACCCATCTCACTCTCAGTAGGCGTCTTGTCATGATCCTGTGCTCCTGAAGTTTTCCATTCTTCCTTCTTATGGCATCATCCCGGATGCTCCGCCAGTACGTAAAAATTGCCGCTGGAAAATTTAGGAAATGGGGTGAATATATGCTATTATCTTGTGTGAAAAAGGATTATTTCAGAAAGTATTTAAAGTAAGCACACTTCATATTTTTTTATACTGTGATAAAGCAATCCAGCTATTTGAGGGCACACCTGGGAAATGCAAGCAATGATAGCCTACACCTTCTACTCGTCCCCTGTCTAAATGTACAGTATATGTATCTTGGTTACTAGAACAACGTATACATACCTTTTATCTCTGCCTTGACCCATTTTTTTTCCCGAGATTTCCTCGCACTTCTTTCGTAAGTAATTCCTCCACTTTCTTATTTCCATCATGGTCATACCTTAAAAGGTTAAAGAAAAGAAAAACTGGGTTAAATATGAAAATAACGATTCTCGCCTCAAGTGTTATGTCATGCCTAGTGCCTTTGATGACAGTTCTCTACTGGTTGAAATTGTTTTCATTCAAATATAGAAATGGATAAACAGATTCGGTTCTGTCCACTCAAAGATTGGCGGCTCTACTTAAGTAAATGGATGTTGTTCAAACTACAGTTGTATGTAAAATATTTTCTAATTGTGACCTTTCACATGAATAAGTTGAATGACATCTTTTTATCAAAAATACAACAAAAATATAAAAATGTTTTTTTATCTTCTTCTCCTAGACGGATAAACAGCTATATCCCGCAGATAACAAAAACAGATTTTCTAATTACAGTCTTCCTCATGAATCAATAGGAAAATGGCCACTAATTTATCAAAAATTTAACCAAAAATAGGAGATCATTAACACACACAAGCACCATTTTTTCCACTCATAGATGGATAAACAGCCTTGGCAAAAATATAAAAAATGTTTTTTTTCTTCTTTTCCTAGACGGATAAACAGCTATATCCCGCAGATAACATGACATTTTCTAATTACAATCTTCCTCATTAATGAATAGGAAAATGGCCATTAATTTATCAAAAAATATTACAAAAATAGGAGATCATTGACACAAGCGCCATTTTTTCCACTCGAAGATGGATAAACAGTCTTGGCACTAGCCACTTAGAGATGGGCGGCCCTACTTGTGTTAATGAATGTCCCGCCCACTATGAAAAATATTCCCTAACTACAATCTTCTACATGGATAATTTGAAATGTCATTTTATCAAAACTTTAACAAAAAATAGGAGATCATTGACACAAGCGCCATTTTTTTTCCACTCAAAGATGGATAAACAGCCTTGGCACTGTCCATCAGAGATGGGCGGCCCTACTTGGGTCAATGAATGCTCTGCACACTAAAAAAAATTCCTATTTACAATTTTCTACATGAATCATTTGAAAAATGTCACATCAAAAATATAACAAAAATAGAAGACCATTAACAGGGCTGAAACCTGGCGGTCGCTAGGTCGCAGGTGGCGACTTAAAATGTAGCTGGACGATGAAAAATAGTGGTTGATAAGATTGGTCTAAGACAAAAAAAATATAAATTCAGCCCGATGTAAACTTATATTACGATTGCAAGTACGAACTTAAAATAAAAATATAACGACAAGTTGTTCAGTTGGACTACCTTTCTTTCTTTACCCTAGTTAATCTAATTTCTCCGAGTCCCATGAACATTTTATTTTTTTAAATGGGAAAGGATAAACCGATCCGTGACACGCCATTATGATTTTTCTCACGTGACTCAAGTCTTACGCATAGTACTTTGCTGTCTGCTTTCGTCGCTCCCGCTTCCTTGGCAGCTTTGGAATACTAAATCAACTGGAAAAGACCGGCAAAATGTGTAGATTTATCTCTGATTGTGAGCAGCCTTGAAAGGAAAAATCGCGACACAAAAAATAGGAGGTCATTGACACAAGCGCCATGTTTTACACTCGAAGATGGATAAACAGCCTCAGCACTGCCCACTCAGAGATGGGGGGCCATACTTGGGTCAATAAATCTTCCGCCCACTATCAAAATATTCCCTTATTGCAATCTTCTACATGAATCATTTGAAAAATGTCATTTTATCAAAATTTAACAAAAAATAGGAGGACACAAGCACCATTTTTTCCACTCAAGGATGGATAAACAGCCTTTGCACTGCCCACTCAGAGATGGGCGGCCCTACTTGGGTCAATGAATGTTCTGCACACTATCAAAAAAAATTCCTTTTTGCATTCTTCTACATGGATCATTTGAAAAGTGTCATTTTATCAAAAATATAACAAAAATAGAAGATCAACTTATAATTATTTACTTATTGATCAGATTACCACTAAAAGTGGCAGGGCAGCTCGGATAGAAAGCCATGGGGCTTATTCCATTCAGGCTACCCATTTACAAACAAAATTCTGGGTTATTTAAGTATACTAAATGGCAAGAGTAAGCTCAGTATAAGTAATAAGGTTAAGAGGTATAATTATCAATCAACAATAACAAATTAATTTAGGGTATCTAATTATTGATTCAAATTAATAGTTCAGGAAAAAGAAAATTCTAGTTAATAATAGTCTAAAAATTAAGTAGGAAAAAGAAAAAAATAAAACAGACGCACACAAAAGAAAAACTAGGCTATACAAAAAAAATTATTAATCAACAACATGGACATAATTAGGACAGATTAGCTTGTTGAACTAAAAATCTATGTAAGTTCTTTCTAAAGACATTTTTTGAAGATTCGCCTTTGAGTTCAGCAAGGAGGGTATTCCAAAAAATTTGGGCCTTGATATGCTATGGTGAATTTCCTAAAATTGGTTCTAGAAAATTGAGATCTGTGATTCATGGCATTTCTTGTATTATAAGAATGAAGTTGAGAACTAGATAAGAACATACCATGGAAGCCTACTGGAAGTAACTTATTCTTAAAGGAAAACATAAACAAGCCGATCTGTAGCATATAGATATTACTTAAGTTAAGAAAATTATGCTCATAGAATAATGGAGCACTGGAGGCATCAAAACAGAACTTGGTGATTGCTCTTATGATACGTTTTCGCAATACAACAAGTCTATTTAAGGTAGTTTTATACGTAGACCCCCCAAAAATGGTCCCATATTGCAGGTAAGGATAGACAAGGGAAAAATATAGGGTACGCAACGATGGCATAGAAAGGCAGAATCTGCATGGCTTTTGTTATAATACCAATAGATTTGGAGGCCTTACGGGCAATTAAGTTAACATGTTCTTTCCAGTTTAAATTCTCATCAACATAGACATCTAGAAATTTAGTATGTGACTTACGTTCAATAGTTTCGTTGTTTATAATTATATCAAAAAGCACAGAGGGTAATTGTTTTCTGCGCACCTTAAAAATAAAGGTCGGTTTTGTTTATGTTTACTGTGACTTTTTAAAATTATTAGCCGTCAACCAATTAGACACTTTCTCAAGTTCAGAATTTAAGATATCTTGTAACATATTGAAATCAGCCTTTGAGAAAAGGACATTGGTGTCATCAGCAAATAGTATAAACTCAAGTAAACTTGATGAGAGATGGATATCAGTAATGTAGAAAAGAAAAAATAAAGTACTAAGGATAGAACGGTGTGGAACACCTCAATTAACTGTCAGATACTCAGAAGCCACACCGTTACATTCAACATACTGTTTTCGATCAGAGGTGACTACACGTCCATTTAAGAGCAAGACCCCTTATACCATAGTTTCCAAGCTTGTTAATTAAAATTGCATGGTTAACTGTATCAAAAGGTTTAGACAAGTCTAAAAAAATGCCAGCACAGTACCCCTTGTTACCTACAGATGAGGAGATTTCATCAATAAGCTGCATGCAGCTAGCTGAATGAGAGTTAAACTGGTAGAATGTTGAGATCTAAAGCCATACTGATGCGAAAATAACATATTATGTTTCTCGATAAAATCAATTAGCCTATTATAAACTACCTTCTCAAAAAATTTAGAAAAACAGGGCAAAATTGAAATTGGCCTATAATTACAAAATAGGGAAGAATTGTCACTTTTAGAAACAGGAACAACTCTTGCAATTTTGATCTTATCAGGGACAATGCCAGTAGAAATAGACAAATTGATTAAGAAGCAAAGTCGGATAGATAAAATTTTGACATTGGATTTAGTATCAGACATGTTAATATTGTCAAAACCACAAGCTTTCCCAGTTTTAAATGAGGTAGCCAGTCTCTTAATTTCCACAGTGGAAACTGGATTAAGAAAACAAGATTCAAGTATCTGGTTCCCTAAAAACCCCCGATACCAGAAGGTTGAATTAGGAATCTTCTTAGCAAGAGTAGGACCTAAGTTGGTAAAATATTCACAAAATTTATGAGCAATGAGACCGGGTCCTTGATTTCTTGTTGACCATCTTTTTAAAGTTTAGTGATTGGTGATTTAATTTTACGCCTGTTGATAATAGTGTTCAAAAAGTTTCAGACAGCTTTTAGATTGTTCTTGGTTGATTCAATTTTACAATCATAATAATTGCATTTAGATATTTTTCAAAGATGGTTAATTTTATTTCTATATTGTTTATATTGAACATGATTCAGTGAGGATAGATTGCGTAAGAGAGCATTGTACAATTTACTTTTGGTCTTGATAGACTTAAGCAAACCTTGAGTTATCCAGGGATTAGTTAACAGTTTAGACTTCCTTTTTGACATTAAGGAGAAAGGAAAAAATAAATTATAAATTTCATTATAAATTATTTATAAATAAAGTAATTGTAGGCTTCATTGGGATCATGATACTAATATAAATTTATTTATTAATTGTCCCAATTAAAGTTTTCAATTTCAGCCTGAAACTTATTTACATTCTGAGTGACGTCTAATTACCCTAGTTTTTGGACTTACTGATTTAGCCTGTGATAACAAAGTAAATATAGGTAAATGATCAGAGATATCGGTAAAAAGATCAAAATTAAAAATTAAAAGATCAAAATTAAAGTCTCCTAAGAGGTAACATGATTTAGGCTCCTTAGAAATTTTAGCTAACAGTTCACTCATCTTGGACATAGTTTTAACAGGATCTGTTCCTGGAGGCCCATAGATAACTCCAACAATAATATTCCCTTGATGGAGCTGATCAATCTCTAGAAGTACAGATTCTAAAATTTCAGGGTCAAAAAAACTTAAATCATCCCTTGCTGTGCGTTTAATAGAGCTGTTAAGAAAGATCCCAACTCCACCTCCATGTTTATCCGCCCGGCATTTATGATGAAAGCTATAACCGTCAATATGAACACCATCTGGATTACTCGTTAGCCAGGTCTCCGAAATACCTATAATAGGAAACCTATTGTCTAAGGTCGTAAGAAAGTCAGTTAATCTAGGTTTAAATGTGTATGAAT